ATGCAAATGAGTTAACCCCTATAGTCAAATTAAGAAAAGAATTAGAGAGCTTCAAGAATAGAAGCGTTGAGGAGTTGGATACCCTTAAACATGAGAATGCCCACATCAACTAGAAATTGACCGAATTAGAGGGAACTTTATGTCAAACATCAAACCAACTAGATCAAGGGCAACCCAAAACATTCCCAAAGCACTTAGATTAGAGCGTTTGAGACTGAAAACAACACTCAGGTGACAATCCACTCATCCATGCATTTGTCCTCACAAGTCAGAGGACATCGAATACACTTATTCATCAATGGGATCATGGAGATACTTTTGCTGAAAACTTGGAAGAACCTTTCTCTTGAAAGGTACGACAACTTAACTTATCCAAACGAGCAATTTGATATATACATAACATAAGTTGGGCTTTACATCATGGAAGATACAATGTTTTGTCAGATCTTCCCCATGTCACTTAAAGAAGCAACCTTAAGATGGTTCACAAGGCTACTCTCAAACAATATCAATTGTTTTGAAACACTAGGAATGAAATCCAACACACAATTTTGCATAAGTTGGCCTCACACCACCTCACTTTGATTCAACTAGTTAACATCTGATAGGATAATGGAGAGTCATTGTGATCTTTCATTGAAAGATTCAGCAAAATTGCTTTAAACATTATAAATATAAACCCTTAGGTAGTAGCCCTTCACCATATGGTAACTACACTAAGCTAAGGTCATTCTCAGACAACCTCTATAAGAAACCTGCAGCAAACTTAGATGAACTAAGAAGTCAAGCTACTAAGTTCATGATATTAGAAAAGATGAAGGAATTATGAAACCAGGTGCAACCTAAAACAACTCCAAAAATAAGAATATAAATAGGGAGAAAGGAAAGTAGCCTCTATAGATAAGGTCGAGGGAGTGTCCTAGTCCAAGATTTTTGTAATACACGCCATCAAACATCAACAAAGCTAGAGTGTTGGAAAAGGATCTCAACACCGATCTCACTCCAACACTAAGAAAGGTACTCACACCTCTCAATGCCGATCATAGCAAACATTATTGATACTATTGGAATTATGGTCATGACACAGGATGAATGTGTTACCTTGAAGAAAAATATAAAAGAACTCTCTTATACAAATTTAAAATAAAAGTAAAAGAAAAATATGCTTTAAAAAACTTAATCACATCCTCGTATGAGTCATTTATTTATAATTTATTTATAATGATAAAATATAAATACAATTAATAATAGAAAGTCAAAAGAGTAAAAATAATCTATAAATCTAGATACATATATAAATACAACTTGTAAATTAATAATTATAAAAACATAGATGAGTTATTTAATAAAATCATGGTATATTTAATATATTGGAGTTTTATCTCATTATATTTAAAATATTTAAATATTGCTTTAATTTTATGATCGTTTAAATATCTTAAACAATAAATGAGAAACAACTTCAAACATCTAAGTTAAAAAGTAGTAAACTTATCACACTATCATACATATAAAGGAATAAAAGGAGTAAAATCAATGAAGTGTGTAAGATAAAGTAGGCAACCACATACATGCTTAGTTTGATAAATATTCGAAAATAATATGTTGACAAGTCATATATGCTTAAAATAATACTTATTGTTTTATTTAAAGTTTTATCTTTTCATTAACTTTCAAATCCTCCTCGTGAATGGTGATTGTAAATAAGGGGAGAATTGATGAAAATAAAATATTTGGTTCAGTTAAGGATGCAACGAGTGTCTACCGATTACTAGTAAAAAATCCGTTCATTATTAATTTGAATATTCATTTAAAAACTCTTTCTCTATATATATTTATTTGAGGTTATTCATAGATATTTATAAATATTTTTACTTTTAATTAAATAAAATTATTTAAAAATATTCTTTAAAGTATATTTTTAATAAATTTTTATCATAAAATATTAATATAAATAAATTAATCTTTATAAAATGCTAATATAAATAAATTAATCTTTATAAAATAGTAATTTAAATAAGGTGTAATATAAAATATAATTTAAATAATATCAAATATTTTAAAAATAATTTAATATTATAAATTTAGATAAAAAAGTATAAATTTATAAATTTATAAATTTTAATTTTAATTTTTTAATAGTGAATATTTTTTTATTAATAATTTTATTTTACAAAAAATATTAAATAAAAATATTAACGGATAAAGAACATTTGCATATTAAATACTATAATATTTATAATCTTTAACAATGGAATAATTACCTATATCTATTATCTATAGGGATCTATTTAATATATGTGTTTTGGTATAAAATATCCGTGAACGTTGTTAGCAACTTAGTTCTAATGATGAATATGTATAAGTACAACTGAGTTTATTTTATATAGACTTTTGTGTCTTATTTTTTTTTTTTTAGGTATATATATATATATATATATATATATATATATATATATATATATATATAAATTGTTTTTATAAAAGACTGCGATAAATTAGAACTATCACATAATATATTAGAATTATTTTATATTTTTGTTGAGTCTTTTCAATAAAAATTATCAATAGGAAGATTTAATTAAATAAAATATGAAATAATTTATAAGAGAATATGAAATTATTTTCAATTTAAAAACATTTTTTCTCACATATAAGTTAAATATTTTCTCCTAAAATGTGATTCTTTTTCATATTGGTACACCGTACTCTCGAGCTGAAAACATTTATTTATGAGTAAGTAATGACCTCGAGAGGTGTTAATATGAGTTCTAACTCGTGAGTCAACCCAACTTACCACGAGTTCGAGCTGTGTTAAGTTTGATTTTTTTTTTTATCATTTATGTCGATAATGGGTTAAAAATGAACCCAGCTCACTTAATCCACAGGTTAAGTGAGTTCGGGTCAAGTTTTTATCGATAATGGATTAAAAATGAACTCATCTCACTTAATCTATGGATTAAGCGGATTCGAAGTCGAGTTATTATAAGAAGACCCATAACCCATCGTTTATTTTAAATTTTAAAAATAATTATTATGATTTTAAATTTTTTCTCTCTCCACCTTTATTTTATACTATCATTATAAATTAAAGTCTCATTTAAACTTATCATTAATAAGACTTTATTTATATTTTTGTTTAATCTTATCACTTTTTTGAAAGACATATCACGAAGAATTTTAATACAAAAATCTATAAATATATGTCATTTATTCTTCATCGTGCGCATCACATAAGTCATCAATTTGATTGTTAAGTCTTTCCTATAAGTTACAACTTTTTTTTATTTTTATCCCATATAAAACTTAAAATACACGTGAATTGTGAATAATTCTTTGTAATACTTAAATGATTGTCTGAGTATTACAAACCTGAAGTTTCCCTATGCGAGACTATAATGAGGATAGATAAATCATTTAATGCTATATCTAAAATATGTTTATCGAAAAAAAAAAAGTTTTGAAAAATTCACGAACACAAAATTTAACTTCCTTCTCACACACATTATTTTATATTTTCTTTCTTTTTCAAAATATAGGTTACAATTCATTTTTAACTTACATTAACCTTTTAAATAAAGTGATTAAGTGGATCGATTTCTCATAAATCAGTAAGATTTGGTTTCACTCATTTCAAAATAAATAGTATTTTACTCGACGTCGAATTAACGAGCTAACGAATACTTTATATAAAAATTCTTTTAATATTAATTTAAAATTTTATATTATTTTATGTTACAAATATATTTTCCAAAAATTGTAATATTTTATTTTTGATATTTTATGGAGTATATATTTTCCAATTGTTTTCATTATTTCTTTTATATTATGTTATTTTTAAAAGTATCATTTGATTAAACAGTTTAGTTAAATGATTAGTCATTGAGATATATTGTTATTGGAGATATTATTTTATAAAAAAGAGGAAATAAATACTAATATAAAATTATTATAATAATTAATGTTAAAACATATAAGTAACGAACTTATATAAATTCAAGCAATTTTTAAGGTATTATGTAATTTCATAAAACTTTAATCCTATGTACTTAGGTATGACTATATGATTCGAATTTATCTTTTTCAATCACACGTAATTTTTCATTCATATGTATTTTTCGCTTTCATCATCTAAATATATGATAAAATGTTAGTTATGATAGCTTTTATATTTTACAAGAACATCATGGAATATATATATTTTTTTTAAAATAACTAGTTCTTAAGTATTTAATATAAAATGTTATAATAATCGAAGTATTTAATAAATTAAAAAAAAAATCAGAATGTTAAGAAATGGGGAGATAATATAACATACACTTTTCCCAAACCAAAACTAAAAATTGTGCGCACTACATTTGCGAGTGGGGACAGAGTGTGACAGAGACCCTACCATGCGAGATAACAACGTCTACAGACAAAAGCCACATAAATATTATATTAATAAGCATAAAATTAGAGAGAGAAGGAGAGAGAAAGAGAGAGAGCACTTTACCACTTTTATATGTTGCACGCATCCATCTGCAGCAGAAAACACAAGGAGGACAAGGGTACTCCACAGACAAGAGAAAGAAAGAAAACCCCATTTAAAGCTTTTCTCTTTTTGTACTGTGCACATCACAAGAAGAACAAAGATGGGTTTTTGAACCATCACATAAAAGAGAGAGAAACAAAAAATAAATAGGGGTATTGGAGAAAAACAAGAAGAAGCTGGGCAAGTGAAAGAAGATGAAGGAGGAGAATAAATGAGGTGAGGTGTGTTTCTTATTGTTGTTGTTGTGTGTTGTTTGTTGTTGCTGAAATAGGTTTGTTGAACTCAACTGCATGTATTTGGCAACTAGGGTGTTAAAGCTCAGATCTTTGTCTTTTGTTCTCACCAGAAATTTCCCACCTGGTATTTTGAGGTCATCAATTTGTGCAGACTCCTTGACTGAAACCCATTTTGTTCGTTTTTGTGGGGTGGAGTTTACTCTTCTACTAACTTGCTGGGGTTGATTTAGATGAAGGCCGTGCCCCTACCCTTTCAGGAATTTAGAGGGAACGGGGTGTTAGATTTTGCTTCTGGTGCTGTTGCTGTTTCAGATTCGTTTTTACTTCCACAGCAAGAGCAATTTCTGCAAAGGTGGAACCCCCACAGGGAAAACTATTGCTATGTGGGCATTGAGCCCACTTCTGGTTTGGACCTCAAAAGGAAAACAAGCCCTCCCACATCTTCCTCTACACTGTCTTCCTCACGCGGCAGCAGCGGCGGCGGTGGAGGCTGCGGCTCGACCGATAGCACCACCGGCGCTGGGGCAGCGAAGGTCACGGCTGAGAAGGAGAATAACCCACCTCAAGCAGGGTTAGAGGTTGGACAGGGGAGATGTGGGCTGGGAATGGAGGACTGGGAGAGTGTGTTGTCTGAGTCATCAGGTCAAGATAATTCCATTTTGAAATTGATTATGGGGGGCATTGAGGACCCATCTGTGGGAATGACCAAGCTTTTGCAGGGTGGAAGTGTCTCTCAGGATGTTGAATTTAATGGGGTTGGAGTGGGTTTTAGTTTGGTGGATCACAGTTCTGTGCTTGACCCCATTCCCAGTGTCAACTATGTAACCAGCATTGACCCTTCTGGTCCTGGGAATTGTTCTGATTTCTCTTTCAATTCCCACAGTAATGTTAGCTCCAACATTTCCAGAGTTGGTTCTGGTGTGAATCCAAACCCTGGGTTCCCTGATTCGGCTAGCAATCTCTTACCAGTTACACTCCCACAAGTTGTTTTTCAGCCACAACAGCAGCATCAACCAATAGAGCCTCTGGATGAGAAGCTGCAAGTTCTCAATCCCCAGTTCGTTTTGAACCAGAATCAATCTCAGTTCATGCCAAACCCAGGTTCGGTTTTGCCTTTGACTTATGCACAGCTGCAAGAACAACATCAGCTTCTCCCTCAGCCTCCGGCCAAACGCCTGAATTGTGGCCCAAATTATCAGGTTCCAAAGGCACCCTTTCTGGACTCTGGCCAAGAGCTGTTACTCCGGAGGCAGCAACAGCAGCTTCAACTGCTCCCTCACCATTTGCTGCAGAGGCCATCCATGGTGGTGGCGCCGAAGCAGAAAATGGTGAGCCCCAGTGGCGAAGACTTGGCAACCCACCAGCTTCAGCAGGCTATAACTGAACAGCTTTTCAAAGCTGCAGAGCTGATCGATGCCGGTAATCTGGAACTCGCGCACGGGATATTGGCGCGGCTCAATCACCAACTTTCTCCCTTTGCGAAGCCTTTTCAGAGGGCTGCTTTTTATTTCAAAGAGGCCTTGCAATTAGTACTTCATTCAAATGCCAACAATAGTTCTATGACCTTCTCACCCACTGGCCTTCTGCTCAAGATTGGTGCTTACAAATCATTCTCAGAAATATCACCAGTTCTGCAGTTCGCCAATTTCACTTGTAACCAAGCACTGCTTGAAGCTGTGGAAGGGTTTGATCGCATTCACATAATTGATTTTGATATTGGGTTTGGTGGGCAGTGGTCTTCTTTCATGCAAGAGTTAGCTCTGAGGAATGGAGGTGCACCTGAACTCAGGATCACAGCATTTGGGTCACCCTCCCCCTCCCACCATGATCAAATTGAGCTCAGTTTCACTCGGGAGAATTTGAACCAATATGCTGGCGAGATTAACATGTCCTTTGAGCTTGAGAGTTTGAGCCTTGAGTCTTTAAATTCTGCTTCCTGGCCCCAGCCACTTCGTGACTGTGAAGCTGTGGTGGTTAACATGCCTATTGGCTCATTCTCAAACTACCCATCATATTTTCCTTTGGCCCTTCGCTTTGTGAAGCAGCTCATGCCAAAAATTGTGGTTACATTGGATAGAAGTTGTGATCGAACTGATACCCCATTTCCTCAGCATTTGATTTTTGCACTTCAATCTTATTCGGGGCTGCTTGAATCACTTGATGCCGTTAATGTTCACCCAGATGTCCTTCAGATGATTGAGAAGTATTATCTTCAGCCAGCAATGGAGAAGCTTGTTTTGGGCCGACATGGTTTGCAGGAAAGAACACTTTCTTGGAAAAACCTTCTCTTGTCATCTGGGTTTTCACCATTGACCTTTAGTAACTTCACAGAATCTCAAGCAGAGTGTTTGGTGCAGAGGACTCCGGGTAAGGGATTCCATGTTGAGAAAAGACAGTCTTCCCTTGTTCTCTGCTGGCAAAGGAAGGATCTCATCTCAGTTTCAACCTGGAGATGCTGACGAGTGTCAATTTGCACCTTTGAACTACCAATTAATTTTTAAATTCAAAGGTGTTTCACAACTTACTGCTTTTTATGATCTTTCTTGCTTCAATTTGCCTTGGCTATGGTTCTATGCTAATGAACTGTTTTTAGGATTTATTTTTCAGTAAAGGAAGTGAACATATTAATTAGCAACTGAATATGCCAATTTATGAGTTCTGATATTTAGTGTATTTCGATGAATATGGGCATTTTATATCTGCATTTTGTCCCATTTTCATTGCCTAAACTGATGGGCTTTTCTTGTATGCTTGACAAGTAACACTAATTATCCTGTAAAGTTGAGGCTTTGTTTGCTCCCTGATAAAGTCTCTCTTTTTCTCTCTATAGCACATGCTACTAGCTAAATTTGCTCTATGAAACTACTTATGTAGTTGAATACAGCTCTTGAACAGCACTCTACATTATTCACTGTGAATTCTTCAGTTGCTTGGTAGTTTGCAAAATTTTCATTTGATATACATTTTTGAGTGCACACCTTTCCCCTAGAAGAATTCTTATTGGGCCAGGTTTTTTTAGAATAATTATTCTGGGTGCTGAATACTGATCTGAGAACTTGTTGCCATACCATTCATCACAACTTAGTTAGAACCTACTGGTCCAGATATTTTAAGCTAAAAGGAAGGAATAAGCAATCTGCACAATTATGCTTCAATCAAGTCTTTCAAGCAGACCAATAAATTTTGGGGACTCGCCCTGATTGGTATCACCACCTCCACCTACTCAGATACATCTGCCACTTTTTACATTTAAGCTTAGATTCTTACCCTTATGCCTCGTTACTAGCCAATCAAATGCCTTAATTTTTTTATTATTACTCCCTAAATCTACACAAAGAAGTCATAGTTAATTGCCATTTGTCACGGCTGATCTCAGGAGATTGAAAATAACTCTAGATACTAGGGTAGTGCTTGGCCGCGGCAATACTTTTGGACCCTCTCTTCTCTCTCATATCAACATGGAAAGAGTGAGGATCCAAATCTATGCTAGAATTCTAATTGAAAATGAATCTGAATCTAAAACTCTGTAACTGCTTGGGTTTTGAAGGCCACAACATTTTTTCTTCACTTTTCTCACGATTCCTTTGCTGTTATGAATAATTAGCAAGGATAGCATGAAAGGATCGTGTCACCTAAATTCTCTCAAACACCTGTATCCATAGGGCTAACTAATCTTTTCATAATTCTCCTATGGTCAATCATAATGGGTTAAGTAAGGTACTGGATGTCGCTGAATATTTAAGACATTGTGATGCATTTTATTTGGGCATGCCAACGCTTGTATTATAAATTTATAATAATACATTGAAGTAGAAGTTTGTTAGGCTAATTATATTTTAATGAATCCCCTAATGAAATCACATGGGTCTAGTGTGAGTGGACCCCACTTGAAATTAGTTTAAACTCTTCTCTATCTTTCACCTTGGAAGCCTTTCATTTAACTATGCTTTCATCAAACACAATCATAATATTTAATGATTGAGGCCATGTTGCATGAGAGAGATGTTTGGCTTCTCATTGTGATTATAATTATTCTTGTCTTTATTTTTTTCAAAAAAGAATGAAAAACACGTCATTGTCATGGACAATAAGGTACTCTGCTAGCCCAGCAACAGATTTGCAAAATGCATTTTTTAATACTATCACTAATTTTGATTACTGTGATCTAACCAAAGATGGTACTTGTTATGGAGCATTACTTGCTTTTCTTAAGCAGGTTGCACATATTTTAATTATGGTTTACAAGTAGAAGATGAATACTCATTTTGTTAGCCACACATGCCAGTGGTCCATCTGAGAGGGCACCACTGTGTGTCCCACCTAAAATAAAATAAAAAAAATAAAAGAAAAGAAAATGGAGAGGACCACCCTTCAATCTTGGGCAAGTCATCAGTATAATAATTAAAAAGGGGGAATGGAGGTGGTGGGTTCCTTTGTCAATTTGTTTCTTTCTTTCTTATTTGTTTGTTTGTTTTTTTTAAGTAAAAGAAAGATGGTGGATAATTAAAAGAGTGGTACATGAATAAAAAGAAAGATGGTGAGTTATTCAGGATTCCTTGCATAAACGTTAAAAAGACAAATAAATAATATATTATGCACATTCATTTTTGTTTACCACAGATATCCATACTTTCGCTTTCGAAAAACCAAAGCTTCGAATTTTAAGAATTTTATTTTATTTTATTAGGTATTTCGTTTTGCATTAATGTTGTTAATGTTCACTTGGTCACATTTTTTTAGTTTGTTACAGGTCATCATCATGTTGAACGAAAAAATGAGTGTGATAAATGTAAGAATGGACTGATTTGATGAGTAAAAAGTAACTAATAAAAGAAAAATAAGTGAAAAAAATAATAATTTCTTTTGTTTGGGTCAAAGATTAAGGAAAGTGTTATAAAAAATGAAAAAAATACAAAAGATATTATTTTATAAAATTATATCCACTTAAATAAATAATTTAATATATTATTTTTATTTATTTGTAACATGATATTATTTTATTAATTTAATTTTAAATTATTTTAGAAAAAAAATTATAATAAAAACATTTTCTAGTTATATATCAAAGTATATATTATTAAAAAATGAGATATATAATTTAAAGGTGTCATCCTAAATAATTATATAGATAATATTGTGATTGAATTAATATTTAATTTTAATTTAATTATTTATTATTTTTTAAAATAAACATTTTTTTATTTCACAAACAAGAATATTTTTTATTCTATTTGATCTCTCTTTCCTTCTTTCTTTCTTTTTCCTTTCTTTCATTTTCTTTCCTTAGTGATTAAAGTGAAAATATCAAATTAAAAATATTAAACTATAAAAATAAAATGCGATGCAAAAATTTTAATTCAACCACAATAACAAAAATAATTCAATTTCATAATAAATTAATGTTTTCACTTGTTACATATCCTTTTATATCAGGAGCTAAAAATACCCCGGTTTTAGGCGACTGAATGGAGCATGAAATATTAAACGAGAGGAATGTGAAAACCCTCTGAACTTTTTTATTTAAATTTTAGTAGTTGAATTTTTTTTTTAAAAGAATAGATTAAAACATCGTATAAATATTAACGCAAATTTAAATTTTAGTCAACTTTAACTTTAGGATTTTTCTCCACATCAAAGGTAATAAATAGTAATAAAAGAAATTAATGATCTATTAAAAGTTTCAAATTATATTAAGAATTATTTTCTTCAACCGCATGCAGTGTTATTTATAAAATATTATTAATAATGTATTTTTAAGCTTATTTTTTATTTATATGTTATCTATATATCTTTAGGTCAAGGATATTATTTCGATGAGTTTTTTCATAAACATTTTTAAAATGAAAAATAAGAAGAAAAAATATGAAACAACTTTTTCCTCGTATTAAACTAGTTTATACATAATTTAATTTATAGAAGTAATTTGATATATTTTAAAAAAAATGTATGTATAAGTTAATTATAAAGAAACTCATCTCAATTTTTTTATCTTATTTTTTTCTCTTAAAATTGATTACAGAAAAACTTGTTTTAAACAAATTTTAAGTATCATATTCGATGTGAGCTCCTAATATAATATAATATATTATGGTTCTTAGATATTTGTACTTGAGTATTATTTTCATGACCACCATAATAAATTAAAACTATTGTGTGAGTAGCTAAGGACCACATTAGGTATGAAATTAATGTGGGATATTAAAAGTAATATTTACATTGGTGGAATTCACTATAAGATAACTTTACATAATTATTAAAAATATATTTATTATGACAACAACAATATGACTTTATATAATTATTAAAAATATTTATTATGATAACAATAATATGTCATTATATAGTTATTAAAAATATTTAATATGATAACAATAATATATGTAAAATAGATCGATTCAATCTATTTAAATTTGTCTTATTTTTTATCGCTAACAATAGATCATGTCAAGCTAATTTTTTATGGTTAGTACAAGTTAGAAGTCTTGTTTTCCCTCCTCAAAGAGTGGGCAACTTTTAGATTTTTCACGTGAATATTTTATAAGTTTTAATTAATTAATGTCGATAATTAAATTAATGGAGATGATAACTACTTTTACATATTAAGTTAGCCCATTACAATCAATAATTAATTATTTTTTTTTAAGTTTCATGGTTTAAATTAGAGGAAATTAGAATAACTTTTGATGTTATCTTCATTGCACCAAATACCCCTCCTTCTTTTATGTTAATAAAAATCGCTTAATTATTATAATTTCGTTAGAAACACCATTCCCATCATATAAACAACATTAGCAAGATACATAGAATCTTAAATGTGCATTGCAACTGACAATTCACACACATAGAATCTTGAAATGTCATCCTTTCTTCCATTAAGTATGCTTAGCAAATGTTTGAGATTTGATAAAAAGGTATTAAGTTGTAATAGAAAGAAGCATGGGCAAGACAATTTGTTATTATTGAGAGAAACATTTCCAAGTTAAACTCTGGTGGTCACACTCTCTTGAAGGTGTGGAGAGGTTCAATGCTTTGCTAGTGTTAAAGGTATATGTGGGAGGAAGAGCACAAAAATTTATGTAAAGACGGGTTAAGAACATGTGGTGTTAGACCTAAAATGTCTAAATGACACAAAGTTTTGAAATTAATAAATATAATTGAGTTTTGTGTATTTAACATGTGTGTTTAAAAAAAATTATGTAGGACATAAAGTTATCACAATATGTACCAACTCATAATATATCAACTTGTGTTATGATATCATATGATTGTTGGAAACAAAGGTCAATTTCGTGACTTTAATGATAACAAATATAATTTTAAGTTTTGAAGTATTATTACATAAAAAATAAATAAAGATGTAAAAAAATAAGGTTGTCAAATAATTAATATATCAACTATGAATGAGTTCATCAAACGAGTCTATTAGATAATGCATCCATCATATTAGTTAATGGACATGTTCTTGCTTGATAGTTTTTAAAGTTAATTTACATTGTTTGGTACCACAACACCAACTGATGTAAGTAATATAAAAATACTCCAATATAAATGTTAAGGTTAACAAGTGAAAAATATCATAAAACTATACAAACTATTAGACAATTTGACGATGATAGACTTAGTTATTACCATTTTGTCTTTAGACTATTTGAAGAAAATATACTTTACTAACTTAGAGAAGTTCAATCATACTAAGCTATAGACATTACATCATCTGCTATATGACATTACATCATCTGGTGAAGTTAGACTCAACTTATGTCACATGTCATTATATCATCTAAAAATGCATTGTTGAACTTATCACCATCAAATCATCTAATGATAAGTTGACTGATTACTAACCGACAGAAACTCTATAGTGCATCTTATGATATGATAAGCAACTACTTGTATTGCTAACCAGTTAATATTATACAATACATTCAATAATATCGTTGACTATCTGATGAGGCGTTGACCAATTAATTATCATTAGCGCATCTTATGTATCTTTGATCACAACTAAGTTGATAATGTGATGAAGCTTTAATCAAGCAATATAATAAATGCAACATTTAGTGCAACAGTTTGAAAAAAAAAATGGTACTCTAAAATGAAAATAGTATATTGTGCACTACTATTAGAATTATGAGAAGAGAGAACATGATGAACACATTTTATCAATGTTTTTATTAATATATTTTATATATAATTATATCATTTAATTATTTATTATTAATAATAATTTTATAAAAAGAAAATAAATAGTTTTATATCTAATTTATTGTTTAATTCATACATTTTAATTATTTATTTATTTATTTTTTGCATGAATGGTAAATTAAAGAAAAGATAAGTATTTATTCTGAAGAATTTACTCAACACGGAAGAAATTTGCTCAATGAATTACTATTAGATACCCATTCTTGGAATTGTCAATTTGTGAGTGAGGAAATAATTAATTGAGTGAAAATGTTGAAGACTAAGAAACTAATTTAACTGAAACTTCGAGTGAGTGAGAAAGTGTTCAGTTAAAATGTCATAAAGACATTGTGTAAATAGGTTTTAGAAGGCCAAAAGACATAAGTTAAGTTCAAGTTAAGTTTCATTTCTTAGATTTCAAAGTTTAGATCCAAGTTTCTCTCTAAAATTTCTCTCTTTTATACTTCTTTATAGCTTAACTTCTAAATCCAAACTCCATGACTCTTGTAAGAATTGTTCCTTGAAGATAATCAATTCAAGATATTATAGATCATATTTGTTTATTTTTCTTTATCTTCTTCATTTAATTTTCGTTTTCACTTCTTCTCTTCTATTTTTTTTGTATAATTCTAGGTTTTTGTTTATTGTTTTATTATTATTTTTATTAAGAAATGATGTTTTAGCCAATTTTCAAAGTTGATTCACCAATTGAAACTTATTTTTTATAGTTTAAATTTGTTTCTTAACGATTCTAACTGTTTATAATCCATTACAATAAATGTAATTGGAATTATTTTATTGAATATCTCATATTATATTACAATTCAATTTATAAGTTTAAGTGATTGTTTGATTTAATAATTGATTTGTGTTTTAATTTAATTGGATTATAAACGTTTTGAACTCTTATGAATCTAACTTGTGATTGCAAGTAAGTCTAGAAATAAATGAAAATCATAAGGATTATTTGACAATTAAATATCAACCTATATTTTCTATAGATTTCTAACTATTTTTACTACATTTTACTTAATTCAATATTGTTTTCTAGTTTCAATTTCAAATTTAATGTTTCCTTTAATGCTTTCAATCTTTACATGCTTAATTAGGACTTAGTTTTACCGATTTCATTTATTGCATTTCATTTACATGCTTTCCTTTGGTGTAGATTTATTTTCTACATAACTTTATATGCTTTCTTGGTATAGATTTGTTGCATGCCTTTACTTTGATGTACTTTATTGCTTTTCTTTACTGCTTTCATACATTAGTGTACTGTCTTTCAATTAGATAATAGGTTTACTTGTTTACTTTTACTGTTTGCAACCAAAACACTTTAAATCTCCCTTTTTCTTAGCTTTTAACACTTGAAAATCAAAGTTTAACAATACTTATCAATTCTCCTCAAAGACACGACCTAAACCAATCTTAGAACTAGATTTATTCTCCTCAAACTTGAGAGTGTATAAATACCCTAAATATTTTCTAAATTCATATCTAAAAATCATTTTATTAACTTTTCAATTTATGAAGTGTCTTTACATATTCTTTTTTTCTCTCTTCTCTTTCATTTTCCTTTTCATTCTTTTGATTCTTGTCCTTTGTTTCTTGTATGAATTGTTCTTATGTTATTGAGTTCTTCATCCATGGAGAACTAATTCTTGAGGATCAATTCACAGAATCATGATCAAACAAACCAAATTGAGTTTTTTGAATTGATTATTTATCGCTCTAAGTTTATTCTTATCTTTTATAATTTTAATTTTATACTTTGTGATATCAATTTGTGATTCTAATTCAGAAATTAAATTAGAAATCAACTGAATCTTGATTTTATAATTAAATACGGATTAAATTGCATGATATTGAGATTTAATTCATATAATTACTTTAATTGATTAATTATTCAAACTTGTATTGAAATATTTAGAGAACTACGATAAGAGAATTGTTTGATTGTTGAATCTTTCTACACTCAAAGTAGGTTGTTCCATACCATAAAGAAAATCTTGATTTTCATTATCATTCATGAAATTAAAAATTTTAAGTTTCTTTAGATTTTATAATATAAAGCATAAACCTAGGTTATCCTTCTCAATAACATATATTGAGATGTATTCAATTTTTAGTTTATTCTTTCATATAAGTTAGATTTGGGGATTTAAGGTTTAGAAATTGAAAAATGCAATTGAATCAAATAATTGAAACCAAAAAATAGAATTAAACTGAATTCAAAGAATAAAAACAAATATCAATCCATAAAATCACAACCAAACAATCCTCTTATCATAATTATCTAAATATTTCAATCCAAGTTTAAACAATTAATCAATTGTTTAATCAATTAACCAATGAAACTAGAAAATATATATATATATATATATATATATATATATATATATACTGAAAAAGGAATGGCCAAAATAGTTAGTAAAAGTTAGATGAGCTAAAAATACAAAATTAAAACAAATATGTACATTGAATCCAATTTATTACTATTGACTAGAGTTGAGATTAAAACTAAAAATAAAGATAATGAAAGCACACTCACTATACAATAAAACTATAAATGTATATACAAAATATGTGTTATCAAATCTCTTTGAAGAATGCTTAAAAGCACTAAAAAGAGTGTAAAGTCCCTTTCTGTTATAGTCAAGTTTGTGCTAACATTGAGAAATTTGAATCTACTAATTGATTATGTTTTTTTGTAGATTTTTTATTCTCAAAATTAAAGATTCATTATCCTTTTTCATATTTTCAAAATTTGTACTTAGATGATCAACATTCTGTATTAGTTTATTGTTCTCTTTGTGTTATGCCTAAACTTGTGATTTTTAGTAATTCGATAATCTATATAAAATTAGAACAAGTTTTCAAAATATTGACTTGTATGTTCACAATCTTTAAATTCATTCTAGAATTTCTATATTTTCTCAAAAGTAGAGAATATTCAGAAAGAAGATCATTATATGATTATATAACAAAATGAGTATGAATGAAGTTTAACTCTTAATCACAATGATTAGTATGTTATTCAAATGTAATGTTTGTCATAATAAGACAATTTCCTTCTTCTCGTCTTCTTTTGACTTGGATAGATTAAGGTCTTCTCATTTTTTACATAAGATTCATCATTCTATAATTTTTAAGACATGTTTTCTATTGCTTTGGACATTTTAATGGAAATGTCCAAGATGTTTTAAGATTTTTTGGATATAAAAGATAACTTTTTTTTTATCATTTAACTTTTTATCATTTGATAAGTAGTCTATTAAATTTTCTACTTTAAAAGCTGTAGTAGGATTTGAGCCTTTTTTTTTTTCTTATTTTGCATTCAAAGCATAATCACTTTCATTTTTCAGCTAACCATCTAATTGAAGCTTCAATTTATGGACTTTGAGAATTATAACAATTTTTTTATAATGTTAAGATTTATAGGTTCTTGAAATTTTATGGTGCAACCATTATGATCTCTATTATGTAAACAATCTTCTTAAAAATTTTGTCAATATAATGATAATTTTCATAATTTTTACCTAAAGAATGAAATTTATTTAATATAGTTTGAAATTGATTTAAAGTATTTTGTATGTCTTCTTTTTTGTCCATATTAAATAATTATACCACCTAACTAAAAAATTATGTTTATTTTGCTTACCTTAATTGACCCTCATATGTTACTATAAATGTGTCATATCTCTTTAGTTTCTTTAAATGTATGAAACTTTGTGTGTTCTTATGCTTCAAAAACATACATGAGAGTGTTTTTAGCATGGGAGTTTAACATGTATCTTTTTTTTATGTTCAATTTTGTCCATTTGCCTCCAAGGAGAGGTTTGTTTTCACTATCATAAATAATATTATTCTTACTTTCCACAACATCTAACATATCAATGTTTTAAGATTCAAAATAATGCAATCTTTCTTTGTTTCATGTAACCAAAATTAACTCCTTTTAACAAGTAAGGTCTATTTATTCTACATTCTTCATCATCTTATAAGATATTTCCTCTTTTTTTTTTCTTTCTTTAAAGAATTAACTAAGAGGTTAACTTGATACCAACAAGAAAAACATGTTAACTTTAGAAGAGGAATTTAATAGGGTTTGAGATTTTTTTTTCTCATAAGTAAGTAGACAACTTATTACTAAGTTTGTATCAAAGAACAATAAATCATTATGTATTGGTTCATTTTAACTGTAGGTGTATTATACTCATATAACCACGAATACTTACACATGTACAAACCTAGTCAAATATATTGTAGTCACGCAACTAAATCTCATCAATGTAGAGGATGGCCAAAGATGCCAAAATAAACCAAGAAGTTGAAGCCTATTAATAAAACTCAATCAAAATAGTATAAATAGACTGAGTTCCAAGATATGTTACTGATTACATATCAAACAAAAAAGTGCAAACGCATTGACAATTTAGTGTTCAAAAATGTAAAATAAACAATTGACTATATCTCAAAAACTAATCTTATAAGATATTGTTACCTAACAAAAACACTAAATTTTCTAGTTCTCTTTTAAAACATATTTATATGTCTCTAATAAAGATTATAATAATAATAATAATTTATCTCTTATTATGTTTTTATTAGAGTATTTCAACTACATGAACTTAAACTTTAAAGTTTCTACGAGTTACTGGATCTTGTAATAATAGCTTCTACGATTTATCAACCATTCTAACTTTAATATTATGTAATAATTTTAGTTATAATATTATAATAATAATATTTTATTAGGTAAAATTATTATAATATATTTGAAGGCCGTTTAGAATTTTATAAAAAAAAAGTATTGATTCTTGTTATGCGTAATAAAAAGGAAAATATAGAAAAAATTGTAATAATTTATAAAAATTAAAATAATTTGTAAAAATAAATTACATATAATTATTTTATTCATGAATTTAGTAATTACATTACTTAATTGAATTATATATCTAAAATAATGTAATTATATTAAATTAATATTTTTTATTCATTTAATTATCTTAAAGTATGTTTTCATTTTTAATACTTAATTCAACATAATTAATGGTAATGATTAAAGATATCAAGAAAATATATATAAAAAAATTATAATATAAAAAATACTGGCTGACACTAAAATCAAATAAATCCATCCATACAAGAACTATTTTTGTTTCATAGCAACTTATATTTAAATTTTTATTTTTTTACTACATTTATTAATTATTAATTAAATTAATCTCAATGAAATGATTCATATTAATTTCCCCAAAATTTTGGAAATCTTATGCTGGTTCCTTAAAAGCATAACAAAGTCCCAAGCTCACAGAGACGTTGAGAAAGACAACAACCTTGGAACCCTTCTCAGTCTCTAATTTTCCTCTCTTCTTTTCCCCGTGATAAACCTGGTAACAGTGGCAGACATGGCGGGTTCACCATAACTCTAAGTTTTGAGGTAACCTTTTCAACCTTCACATGGTCGTTCATTTTCAAAATTATGTTGGATATAAATTAAATGAATTCAGCATAGCCGTGCCCCAATCTGCAAAACAACCTTAGGCATATTCTTCGTAACTGAGAGATAATTTCTTTCAATTAACAATTTAATTTAATTGATGCTTAAGAGCTGAAAATTCATATAGTAAATGAAAAACACTGTTCACAGTAATGCAATTTTAACCGAAGACCCCCCGGAGTAAGGTGTGCTCTGCAGTTTTCTTTCGCCGTTTAATACGCTGTTTAGATTAAACAATTATTAGGTAACCAATTCCCATTGGTTGTTATAATTTCTTCATTTGTTCAAATATCTCCTGCCTGTTTGTTTTATAGACAGGAATTAGCATTTTGAGGCTTACTTTTGATTAAAACTTGCTTAGTTTATGTATGGGGGCTTAAGGGCTTTCATCGTGAATACTTGTTTCTACTTTAATTTGCCTTCACTATAGCCAAAAACACATAAGCTGCAAGTTCCAATATTTAAAGCACAGGACAGTTCCTCGACCTATTTAGTGACCAATGGTAGCTTTTTGTAACATTGCTCCGTAGTGACACCCGTTAAAAATTGATTTTCTGTAATATGAGTTTTCTTCATTTTTATTTCCTGTTGTCTCTGGAAAATTATTTTCTGTCTGCTTGTATATTTATAGATGGCCACACACACATGCATATATTTATTTTTGGTGACTTCTGAAATAAGATGATAAACATTTGCTTTAGTTTTCTTTTACAATAAATTGAATATTTTAGGTGTTCTTATGTGTTTGTATTAGATTGAGATTTTCCTTTGGTTTGATTTATTGTGTAGTTTGAACTTTTAAGTCACTTGCTTGATAAAATATCTAGCCTGATTCTTCTTCTGCTGTTGAAGAAACTCGTGTTTATTTTGCTTAATTCGGTGATTTCTTAAAACTAATTTTAGTGTTTCTAATTTCTTTCAATATGAGGTGACATAAGGCAATTTGATGATTGACACATTTTGAAAGTGACAATTTCTTTGTGTTCTGATCAGATGTTGTGATGTTTTCTAATCTTTTGCATTAGCACTCTAATATGTTCTCATCTGATTTTCAACTTTTGTATGTTTCTTGGGAAAATGTGAAAAATCTTCCCCGAGGGGATATTTTTTACGTTTGACAGTCTGCTTTTTTCTTTTTGTAACTGCAATCACTTGCGAGCTAAGATGGGCTTTAGCTACTCTGTCCACTTTCTTCTAATATGTACAAAGTTAATAATTTAATGAGATACTGTTTACTGCTTGAGACATAATTGATTCTGTAGTCACTATTTATGAGCTGATGTATTTGTATATGATTCCAACTCTATATAACAATCTTTTTTCTTTTTTATTTCTTAAGACTAAGATCAATAGTGGTTAACGGTGTTTCTTATATTAGTTTATAGTTTTGCATAGCCATGAAGTTCTTTAGATTCTTTTTTTGTTTAGACTGCCATCTCTTTCACTTTCACATAATCTGTTTATTGGAATGACAGAAGACAAGTAGTTTTTATCGCACCTTAAGAGAATATAGTACATCTTTAGAATGCTGTTGTTGATGGTTGGGCGTTTTAGACTGTCCTTCAATTTTTCATTTCAGGGGGGATGGTTAATTAATTCTCAATTTTTATAACAGGTCTTTAATTTTCTAGTGCTTAATCAGAATTTGATTTGTCTCATTCTAATGTTCTTTTTTTTAAAAAAAAAAAAAGAGAGATATTTTTCTTGAATGCATCAATGGTTGGATTTATGGATTTGATATGTGGATTGCCATGGCATTTGTACAAAAAATGCTTGTAACCTGTATATTTTTTAAGTACAGCTTTTAGAATCTGATGTGGTACTGTTCTTTTATGACCATTTGGGATTGGGTTATGATGAAACTTGCTTAGTGTTTTTTTCCATTATAAACAATCTGCCTTGCTTAATGGGTTTCACTTGAGCTTTACCAGTATAAAGTAAGGAAATCCCATGCCAACTCCTGAATGTGCAATCCATTAAAAAAATTATTTTACAATATTATTTAGCATCGAACTGCGGTATATTTATCATTGCAAAAGAAAAAATTAAATAGGAGTGAAGTCTATATTTGCTTCCTAAAATTGAGCTATACAATTGCATAAACGCACACACAAGGATTGCTGTTTGAGGATTTTTGTCATTCTTTGATTATTGTATTTGTTTATGAGGTACCGTAAATGTTATGAGTTTCATGTGCAGATCTTCATTTGTTATAACGTGTAGACTGGAAAATGGAGGCACTGAAAGCATGTTATGGGGATGGATCTTCTGATTCAGATTCTGAATCTGCACCTTCAGCTCCAAAATCTGCTCCCTCAGAAGCATTCACACCCTTGCCACCACCCCCTATCTCTCTCCTTGACCCACCAACTGTTCTTGGTATTCTAGGTTTTAAGCTGAATTTATTTACTCGTTACTAAAATGAAAAAGAGAATGAAATTTTTTTCTTGTTGGATAGATTTAGGTGATTAGGAAATAATAAGAATCTCAAATATTATCAACCTCAAAATCTTAGTTGATGATACAATTTTTTTCTGAATTCATAAACTCATATTTCTTATGTTGGAAGTTTCATTGTAACCATATATTCAGTTCTTATTGTGTGCTAGTAAGTTACGTTTATTTTATTGGCAATTAGTCATGGTTTTGATGGTAAATGGTCTCTAGATCTGCAGATAGGTCAGACAGCAAGAATTAGGAGCTTCCCTCATGTTGATGGTAACTATGCCTTACATGTTTACATACCAAGTAAGTTAATTATGATCTTAAAATGAATTTGTCTTTGTTTGAGCATACTATTATATGCTTTTCATGCGATGGTTATGCTTTGCAGTGATTTTTTATTGAATTTATTGTGTATTCATTTGTCTATGCTCATTAGAATGCTTCACATTTAGATTTACCTGCTAGTTGGCAAACCTGTATATTTGCATGCATATGAATTGCGGAAACTAACCATCATAATTGTATCATAATATTCTTTTGACTGTGTTGTATTTAGTGTTATACACTGCACAAGATTTTTCTTGTTCCTCCCTTCTTATCACTCCTTTTCTCTTTCTTGAGGAGATATATGTACAAGAATAATCTCAAGTTGAACTGCAATTAGACTTCCTCCCTTGTTATTTATCGAAAAAGAAAAAGAAACTGAAAAGGGGAAGAGTTCGGCCATATAACCTACATGGTGCACAAGGCTGCTTCTGATAGAGCTGGGGCATTGTTCACTCATTGGCAAGCACACCAAATCGTACTAGTAGTGATTTGGAAGTCCAAGTATTGTTTCCTTAGGTACCTGTGTAATATGAAGATAATTTTTGCAAAATTATTATCTCAAGAATGTCTAGGAAACTAAAGACACGATTGTAGGAATAAATAAAAACAAAGCGAAACAGACTTGAATCAAAGATATGATTTTTCTTTTAGTTGAAACAAAGCTAAGAAATTCGAATTTTCAACTATGAAAATATTATCGCAATTAGACTTTGCCAAACTATAGTTGAACTCATCTACATCTTCATTCTCCTCTTGGACATCAAGTTTCTTCTAGAAATATGCTTCATCATGCTTTTGTTTTGATTTTTATTCTTCTTTAATGTCTTCATTTGTAGCTAATTTCTCTTTAATCAAATCTAAAGTAAAACTTTTGTCTTTCATGAACTTTGAATACTTCTAACTTGTTTGGATATTATTACACTTAAATAACTTTTAATTACATTTATTCTCATACCTTTCAAAGTCATTTGTTCTCCACTCCCAATTATTACTTTAGAAATAACAATTTTGTTGAGCTCTTTGAAAAGTTTTCAATTATGAGTCATGTAGTTTGTACAACTATTATCTACAAGTCAACCTTTTGTGAATTTATTAATTGTAAAGCATGTTGCTTCAAATAAGTGTTCTTCTTTTAGTTTGTCCTCTACAACTTTTTCTTGATTTAAGATTTGTATATCTTTTTTACATGTCTCAATTGACCACATTTGCCACGTTTTACATTTGGCCTCCACCAACATTTATTATGTTGGGTGATTATTTTTCTTGCAATAGGGACAAGGAATGTATTTTTTGTTTTGGTTGTATTTGTTACTTTTGTAATTCTTGGCTTGGAAAACACATGTTCAACAATATGATCTTATAAGCACTTTCAACAAGATGATCTCTCATAAATCTTCATTGCTCTTTTACTTACGAGACATGCAACACTTCTACCAAAATAATCTTAAGCAAATCCTTTATGTTTTTCAATAAAGTAATAGATATTTTGTATCACCATTACCAACTAGTCTGGAATTAGTAAACTCCTTACCCAATAATTTTATCTTATTAGTAATATCCAACAATTTGTTTGAGTATTTCTTGACTGTCTCAGACTCTTCCATTCTTTGTAGCTCAAATTCTCTTTTCAAATTTAGCACTCTCATGCCTAAAATCTTCTCGTTCCCTTCATATTCTCCTTTCAAATAATTTTCAATTTATACTTAGTCTAACCTAGAAAATGATTGGAAGATACTTGATTTAAAAGGTTTTGTCCCTCCTAACCTGTAAGTTCGACCACTACATTCAAGGTCATTTTATATTTTTTGTTACCTTATCTGTGCCTTGTTGATTTCTTCTAGTATCTTTAATAGACTTTACCATTCTAGTAAATTTGTTCAAAAGTTTTTCATGGTAAATTATACAAGGTGCAGTGTTTCTTTACAGTTAATATTTCATCTCCATCAAAGAAAGAGCTATCTGCTTTCTTGAAAAAAGTGTCATCTCGGGAACCAAATCTTAATGTTGTTGAAGTTGATGTCCCACTAAACATCCTCTGCCAAAATTATGAGAAGCTCGAACAAGTTGCCTTAGGAAGGGAGTTTCACATAAGTTTGGGAAGAACTGTTCCAATACGAGTGCACCAGATTGACTCAGTGATCTCAATGCTTAGACAGAAGCTTCAAATTCAACACCAGTAAGTTTTAGTTTTTCTATTTTTAACTTATGAAAATGGAACAGTATTTTTGTTTCCACGTGTTTTCCTTACAGTTTCCTTTTTAAGTAGGTTTTGGATAGACTTTAACAGGTGGGAGGTTTTTGTTAACGATGATCACACACGGACCTTTCTCTCAGTAGAAGTTGTTCAAGGAGGGTTACTAGAGGTATGATTTGTGACCTTACTTTTATTTTTAGCATGCCCCTGTTACCTGTGTTATCTTAAATCATATACAAGTTGGAATTGAGTGTTGCGTTGTCGCTTAAATGTGTGTTGATGGTGGCTTAATATTTGAATCTTGGTTGTTTTCTATAAAGCTGCTGATTTAAAACATATAAAAGCTCTCTGGGTAACGGAAATCATTTTATTGGTAAATAAGTATGGGAAGTTTGGAAAATTGCATCTGAAACTGAAAATTAGATCATTCGGGTGACGTGAACAACTGAATTAAATCAAGGTTGAAATTCAAAAGCCTGGTACATGTAATCCTTTAGTAAATCTTCTGTTTAGGGCTTAAGGGAATTGTTTTTGTCTTGCATGGAGAGTCACATGGAATTGGGAAAAGACTGGAGATGATATGAGACCATCCGAAAAGTTAATATCTGACAAGACTACTAATTTCTCATTGTTTAATCTTCAGGCCAATTCATTCTCTCCCTCTAGTTACCAATTAATGTGAAATGTGTTTTTTCTTTCGAATTAATTGCAGATAACAAAGCAAATTGAAGCAGTAAATACAATTTACAGACTTCATAATCTTCCCGAGTTTTACAAGGTCAGTTAGTTTTATTGAGTAATGCTGCCACCACAATCACTCCATCGTAACTACTGTCTTATCCCTGGTTCTCTTCTAATACTTGAACTTTAACTTCTCTTTACAGGATCCACGTCCTCACATATCCTTAGCATGGGCCTTGGGTGACATTGCCCATTCATTGAAGAAAGTTGTCGACGAGGAAATGAAGTGCGCTGTGGGAAAATCATTCAAGAAGTGTATATTCAGCTGTAAATTCAAAGGTATTGAATGTAAGATTGGCAAGAAAGCATATACAATATGTAAAATTTCTGATGGTCAATAACATGTACACTTTAAAGAAAGAGCATACGATTTTCTGAAATATTTCGGGCTGCATGGAATCCTGCTTATCTAAAATGTTGGGTTTTCTTTCTTGGTTTGGTGTCAACCTGATCATAAATAGAATACTATGGAGATGTGAATGTGTAACTTGGTTATTTATTCCTCATGAGTTGTAAGATAGACCAAAAGCTTGTACGAGTTCATCAAAGCTTTTTAGAGATTACTTCCTGAATTATTATTATTATTACCAAAAGTCAGATAAAGGGGACAATACAGTTTTATACATGAAAGAAAGTATGAAGAGATAGTGGAGTCTGACAAGTCCGACAGGGGTTATTTTGAAGATATTGTTAATGACCGAGGTCTTGACTCATGAAAGCAAGGGGCCCAGTGTTCTGGATGAGATGCATTTATAAGCCTCGTTAACATTAGTTTATTTCGTTTATGAGATACATAATCTCGACTAATGTTAAAATTGTGAATGCAAATCACGCGTAATTTGTTAAATACCATTTGAGTTGCGCTTTACACCTTAACAAATAAAATTAAACATTATATTATACTCTAATTTGATAATTTTATTGATTTTCTTCTTTTTGTTCCAAGCAATCGTTAGCTTTCCGAGAAAAGAAAAACACATAGAAAGCAAATCAGTTTTCACTTAGAATATTAAGTAACATGGTATCCGTGTCAAAAGGATTCTGGTGAAGGAATTAAATTAATTCATGGTATCCATCGCTAACATTTAAGCAAAGATGATGACGTGACCAGCAACACAGGTCTCTTCTGTTGCCTTCGCATCAAGATTTTCTCTGCAGCAAAAAGTTTAGCCATTGATTATATTCTTTTTCTTATTATAGCTGTTTCAAAAACCCATCAATGCCTCTGATTTTACAGAACAACACAGATCCTCTATTACCTTTGCATCAAAATTTTCTCTGCAGCGGAAGGTGGAACCGTCGATTATATTCTTTTTCTTATTATAAACTGTTTCAAAAACCACCAGTGCCTCCCATTTTGCAGCATGGTAGCTGTTGAGAACTTTAATTACAGAGGTATGTCCAATTTTATTTTTAGGAAACTTTTGGAAGGTTTCTATAATCTTTAATGATTACAAAAAGTATTGTTATTCCAAAATTATATAATGTCCCTCCTAAAAAACCTCATTTAACTCATTTTAAGTTGAAGGATTAAATATACTTGCACACTAAGTAAAGAGGATATACATATTAAGATCCTAAAATAGATACTAGCTTAACTAAGTAAAGGATTAATACAATATTAGGTTTATCGAAAATCTCAACTAGATAGACCTTCGAATTTTAATGAAATTTTTTAACATGTGTTTTATAAATACAATGCTTATCCTCAATGCAAAGACTCATAAGCAAATCATTAAAAGAAAAGTTTTCATCAATAACTATTTTTTTTCACGGTTTAATTGAAATAGACGTAGTCGTATCCAATATATTACTTTGACTTTACCGTTAATAAAAAATAAAAAATTCTTCACTAAGACTTTTAGAAAAAATAGAAATTTAATCTAATTAAAAATATAGAAGGTAAAAATAATATTGATGAAATCAATAATGCTCAAACAATAAATGAAAATATTAGGTTGAGATACATCGAACATCAACCCACAAAATAATGTATTTCTTTTCCAGATAAAGCATCTCCTCAAATCAATTGAGTGCAAGAAACGATCTCTGGAAACTCGATCTTATAAGCATCTTTTATGAATATAAAGTTTACGTGAATGAGAAAAATTTTCTATGTATATTTTCTGCTCAATAGTACAACAAATAATGTGTATCCAAAGTTTAGGTTAATAGTGTAGCTTGTAGGGATTGTTTTCTTATATATTAGGAAAAAAAATAGTAACATGGTTAAAACTGAGTTCAAATAATATAAAAGAAAAGATTTAATTTTTTAGAGACAATAAATGTCTCCAATATTTGCTATCCCTTAAAGTAAAATTATAATAATATTCTATTTTATGTTTTGATACAATTTATTTATATTTATATTTTAATAAAGTATTATTTGTATTTATATTTTAGAGATAATTTTATATGAATTTCTATATTTAAAATATAATTTAGTTGAATTTATTGTGTTAGAAGGCAAGTTTTAGATCATTTTAGTTAACACATAATTTTTTTTTAAATTAATGTGTGAATATTAAAAAAATTACAAATATTTTTAAAGGGATAGTTAGTAAATAACATATGGATAATTAAAACAATTGTATTTTCCGTAGAAGTAACTGATAACTATCACAGACTTATGTTTCTACGTCATGTGTAATAACTAACCATCAATAAAATCATTAAATATTTTATACTAATAATATGATGATAAAAATATAAAATAAAAATAAAAGAAATAAATTTTACGTTTTGTATTTCTTGTTTATTTTTAAGAAATAAAACATAAATAAAAATAAGGTAAAAAAAATGGTAAAAAGGCTTTAAAAAGTGTCCCAAAAATTGTTGAAATTCAACCAACAAAATTAAAATATAAAGAGATTAATTAGTATCTATCACATCTGAATGTTCATCTTAAATCATTAACAGCTAAAAAAATAAGTGTTCTCAGATGTCTTGTTTTATAGTAGTGAAAAGGAAGGGTGACGAGAGTTGGTTGAAACTTGAGGGAATGGAATTGTTAAAATGGCTGACCTTGTTTTATAGTGCTTATACATATCCAAATATAAGTGGTTGTCAAGTTTCAAATATTTAGAGCCACAAAGATGGGAAAAAGAAAAAAACAAATCTTCGGACATCATATCAATAAAAAAGAACACGTCCTAATTTGATTTTTAAATTCTAGGCCATCTTATGATGAATATTATTCAATATTAATAAATTATTTAATTTTTTAAAACTACTTTTTTTTATCGATAAGATATCTTAAAATTTATGATTAAATATTATTTAATAAAAGAATGTATATATAAAGGCAAATAATGTATATTAATAATAAAATCAAAATATAAAATATATTTACATAAGTATATAATTATTATTGTTTAAAGATATTATCTACGTTATTACTATGGTTTCTTCTTATACAATAAATTATATCATTCAAATCATATAAACTTAAAAATACATGATAAATTAAAACATTCAAATAATAATTTACCTAATTATATATATAATAATTCTATCACAACCTACACATCTCAAAAAATTAATATTATATTTTAAACTTAGATATTAACATCTATATCACATTTTTTTTTATTATCAACGTCATTTTAATCTATACTCATCCTAATGTATTTTTTTCATAGTGTCGGATTTCTAGGACAAGCTTTGGACAATCTCCCATTATCTTCTCACCACTTAATATTTTAGTCAATGTGAAATCTCATGTAAAAATATAATTTTCACACTAATAGACTACTAAATCTTTGATTTCTAGTGTCATTTATGAACCACATATCTGAAATTGACTTATCTTGTACCAATATTTACATATCTAATTATAAGTAACACATTTTGGCTTAATTTATCCTCACAACACATTTATTAAGTTTTTAGCTCACTATCTTTGCATTATGGATTCATTTCATATAATAAGGGATATTTTTCTCGAGATGAAATATTTTTATAGTTCAAATCAAATTATTATATCTTTTTGTCTCATATATTTTACTTGAACGAGCATTTATTGTTTGAACAAAATTCAAGTTGAGGTAATTATCTCAATTCTATTAAGTATCATTTTTCTCTTGAATGAGATGCTTATAATGTTAATTTTTTCTCCAACATGACTTTTTCACTTAATTAGAAATTTTTTTACTTCAGTGAATAATAACATATGACTTTTTGCATGAACAACTTAAGTGAATTACTATCCTTTAGTTCACCTCTTATATTATTGAGTTTATCACTCAAATACATAATAATACAATTGAATCATACGAGTCAAATAATAAATAATTTTCATTCACAATTAACAATACTATTTATTCATGACAAAACATAAAAAAAAAACATATTATCACACTAAAACAACCTTAACATCCATTTCTACTTTATTTAACCTTAGAAGATATATATTTCCAATTCAGATATTAATAATTAACTCCAGAATATTCATTATTTCTCTATAATCCTAACTACAATACTTATCTCTCAATTTTTGTTTTTATTTTTGATTAGACAATTGTATTGCTTAGATCAGAGTTTTCCACTGTCACTTTCCATTCAAATTCTAGCAAAATTTTAATATTTTAACTTAAAAATATCATAAAAATTCTATTCAACAAGATAAATATTTTATAAAAATAAAACAAATTTAATCTTTTATTTATTTATAGAGATTCTAAATCAATTAAACATATTTTATTTTAAAAACAAAAGCACACCTTTACATTAAAAAGTATTTAATATCTTTAAGAAATCTAATATTATTATTAATCCAGTTTTTTTAATTTAAAATAAAAGAATTAAGTTTTTATAAGAACTAAAATAACATGTTCAGAATATGAGAATAAAAATAAAAATAAGTTACTGGTAAAAATATTTGCTTTTTTAATAAATAAATAACATTTCTCACTTTATTTTGGCAAATCGCTTCACACATATATGACTATATCTTTAAAGTGTATGATTATAATAATACAAATAAATTATCTATGGCATTGCACAAGAGGAAGTGATGTATATAAAATATTTTGTTTTCATATGAGCATTATTTGCACGCACACAAAAGAAAGGTGTCCTGAAAATCAAATGGTGTAAATGCAATTTCGTGTATGCTTTTCCCATTACTCGTTTGACTAATTTTCCATTCGTCCAAAACAACGACGGCCATTAACTTCCCACTGTTCACGACACAATCAGAGTTGCAAAACCCAATACCAACCATGGCAACGGTGGCGCAACCGTGTTCTTCGTGGACGCGCGGTTCCATTCCTCTCTCCAAGCACCTCCCGCGACGTCGTTTCAGCGGCAGAACCACCACACTCACACGCCTTAGCCCACAAGCTGCTCTTGTCCAAGCACCGCCTTCACCTTCCTCGCCCAGAGACAATAGCTCCATTCAGGTCCTCACCCTGTCACGTGCCAATGATCTGCAAGCCGAGGCCAGAGCCATGACACGTGCGGTCAATGCGACCATATACAACCCTGCACTCATAGCGTCCCTGTATGGCTCCCAACCCGTTAAGGTCTTTTCTCTCACCCTTTTGGAAGTTCTTTCGTGGGTATAGCTCGGATTTTGAGGATTGGTTGATCCCTTTTTGTGGTAGGTGGTGCGGAGGACCCTTGAGATTCTGGTTGCGTTGGGTTCGTTTGGGCTGAAGCTGTTACTGGACCAGAGGAATGGAGTGCTTGATCAGAATAGAAGAGTTCGCGCCTCTGAGCTTAAGGACATATTCACGAAGCTGGGTCCAACTTTCGTGAAATTGGGTCAGGGATTGTCCACAAGGCCTGACATATGCCCAACGGAATATTTGGAGGAGCTTTCTGAACTTCAAGTGTTGTGTTCTCTTCCCTTTGACTCGTTTTGATTCAAAATTAGTTTTTCTTTAGTTACTTAGTTAGTTACTCTGTAACTATATATAACTAAAAAAATTTAGAGCATGCTTTAGACGTTGACTACCTTTTAGTTAACGTATCAAGTTGTTTGGAGAAAGTACTGAGTTAATATTAATTTAGATAAAATTCTTCATGAAAATTTGTGGAAGAAAATAGAAAGTAAAATGTATCAAGTTGCTTCCACAAATTATAATCAATTAATGCATAAAGGATTTTGAAGAAGTTAGATGCAGGAGCTTCTAGACGTGAGAAGATTACTTCACTTTACTTTCTTGTTTTCTTCTTCATTAAGTACATATATAGAAGTTTATTCAAATAGAGCATAGGTATTTGTTTGAGTAGACCTTATTATAGTGTACTCTAAAAGAAAATAAATCTTTTTTGTATAAACATTTCAACAAGGGTAACAAATGGAAAGTTTGATGATTTATTAAAGGTAATTTGTTTGAAAATAAGCAAGAGTTGATTTTGTGAGGGCTTGTTTTCATGAAGTTCAGCCTGCAGCTTACGGAATTAAGACCGTACAGCTTATGTGGGTTTTAAAAACTGTTTCAACTAGCTTTGTACAAAGAGCTGAAAATAAGGGCATCCAAAATGGTGTGTAAGAAGTTTGGTTGACTGTGCGACTCCTCAATATGTAGCGTAAATAGCATTCTCTTTACTGCTCTTTTGTGTATAATATATAGGTTCTTTGAGGACATGATCAAAGTTAATATATAGGTTTTGAAAATTTATTCACTGATGTAGTGTAGGATGGTATATCCCCATTAGTATAATTTTTGCTATGAAGTTTTGTATTAAAGAATTAAAAGTAAGGGTAATTTTGATCCTGGATGTGCTTCACCAGGATGGTTTGCCTACATTTCCTGATGAGGAGGCCTTTGCATGCATTGAGAGGGAATTGGGTCTATCTCTTGAATCCATCTTCTCTTCTATATCACCATCACCCATAGCAGCAGCCAGTTTGGGACAAGTTTATAAAGCTCAATTGAAGTATTCAGGAAGACTTGTGGCTGTGAAGGTGCAACGCCCTGGTATTGAGGAAGCAATAGGATTGGACTTCTACCTGATAAGAGGTCTTGGGTTTTTCATTAATAAATATGTCGACATAATCACTAGTGATGTTGTTGCGCTTATTGATGAATTTGCACGTAGAGTATTTCAGGAGCTCAACTATGTGCAGGTTAGTTCTTCAATCATTTCCATTGTTTTTTTAATTTTTTTTTTCATTGGAATCTTTATCCTATTTGGCTCATGTCTAGATGAAGGCTTGAATCTAGTTGTATTTTTCTTCATCTATAATTATGGGGTGTTATGTTCCCTATATGTTAATAGTAACGCTACATATTTGTAAATTATACAAGATTCTTTTTCAGGATTGAATGTAACTTTTGACAGGTTCCTGCAGGAGGGACAAAATGCAAGGAGGTTCAAAAAATTGTACGCTGACAGGGAAGATATCTGTGTCCCTGATGTTTTCTGGGATTATACAAGTGCCAAAGTACTGACAATGGAGTGGGTTGATGGAGTCAAACTAAATGAGCAAGAAGCTATTGAGAGACAAGGATTAAAAGTGTTGGATTTGGTTAATACAGGCATTCAGTGCAGCCTCAGACAGCTGCTTGAGTATGGATATTTCCATGCAGATCCACACCCTGGGAATCTTTTAGCAACACCTGAGGGAAAGCTTGCTTTTCTCGATTTTGGGATGATGAGTGAGACTCCAGAAGAAGCAAGATCTGCCATAATTGGTCATGTTGTTCACTTGGTTAACCGGGACTACGAAGCTATGGCTCGTGACTACTATGCTCTTGATTTTCTGTCACCTGATGTTGATGTGTCACCGATTGTACCAGCACTACGAGACTTTTTTGATGACGCACTCAATTATACTGTGAGTGAACTTAACTTCAAGACACTAGTGGATGGTCTGGGAAACGTTTTGTATCAATTTCCATTTAATGGTGAGATGACAAAATGCCTTTTATTGACTTCTCATTTTCATCTTGTACTTTTTTTTTTTTTTGGAGTCATTTCAGCCTGGGATTGATACACAGTTCTAAAACACACATTGATGACATCGTTAACTATATTCTACCTGTAAGAGACAAAATAAAACATTTAGTTATTTTCCTTAAAACTCTCAATTTCAATAGTTGAATGATATAATTGTCTATTTCTATAAATATTTTTTGGTTACCCCTACCTGCCATTTGTTGCAGAGTCTGATGGTTTGGATTTGGGTTCTTTTTTTTCATCTTCTTTTGGCAGTCCCAGCCTACTATGCTTTAATATTGAGGTCTCTCACTGTTTTAGAAGGTTTAGCACTTTATGCTGATCCCAATTTTAAGGTTCTTGCGGCATCATACCCATATTTTGCTAAGCGGCTCTTGACAGACCCAAACCCATATCTAAGGGATGCTCTTATAGAGTTACTTTTCCAGGATGGGAGGTTCAGGTATACATTTAGCCATCTAAAGCCCATATTTCGTTGATTGAAATGATGATAGAATACTTTTTTGTGTAAATTACTTGAATATACATTGATCTAGTTGAGTGCAGGTGGGGTAGACTTGAAAACCTGCTAGTCCAGGGGAGAATGGACAGAGATTTCTCTGCAAAAGAGGCTTTACAACCTGTCCTGAAGGTATTATTGAGTCCAGATGGTGAAGAACTCAGGATCCTAGTTATTAAAGAAGCTGTTCGTGTAACTGAAGCTTTTACTCTTAGCACAATTTCTGATACATACAAGTCAGTTCCTGATTTTATGAGGGCTCTTGTTTTCAATGGCAATGCAAATGGACCCATTATAATGTCGGAAGCTGAAACGCAAAACATGATAGAGCTTAGAGATCAAGTATTCCGGATATGGGGACTTCTGCAATCATCTAATGATTTTGATCCAGATCTTTTACTACCTATACTACAGGTAAGAGACATTCTGGATTATTGTATTTCTATGGACTATAAACCATTTACAGACTATATCGACATTCTGCAGGTGTGAATTTAATAATTTAACTGATATCTAATGTAACAAAAAAATTAGCACAAATATAACACTTGGTCAACCACTTTGTGGAACAATGATATGACACAAGACAAGTACGATATAACTCTGATACAAAGATTACTGTATATGTGATAGCAGCTACGCTGATCGGATACAAACAAAAAAATTAATATAAGATTACATTGAAGATATATTTGAGACAGAAACACATGCTAATATGAGATCACTGTAAAAATTACTATAGTCATTCCTAGCACAAATCCGAAACCAAAATTAAAATAGATATCAGTGTTTCAAAAGTCAGCATTAATGATTGTTGTTGCAATACAATTGATAGACATTGAAGGATGTGTACAAAGATTATCCACTGGTGTTTGAGGATCTCGCATGCATGTCTAAGACCAATACGGAACTTTATTAAGTGTCTGCACTTCCTGAATGAACATTTAAACATATAGTTCCGTTAAGAAGATGATCTTGAAACAATGGAGTTAAATTTAGAAAAGAAAGTATAATTTTAGAATATTTAGTTGAATTGAATTTAAGGCATTTTATGTTTGACCTCGGTTTGACTTTTCTTAATCAAATTTGTTATTAGTATAAATTTTATAGAAATTTATATTTGCACATGAACAGGTTCTTCAGCAACCTGAGGCACGCAGGCTTGGGGAACGTGTTATGGGTGGGATCACTCAACGTCTTGCAGCACGCTTTCTGCAACAAGTACTTCGAGTTCCAACAGCACCTTCCACATAGATTTTGCGTCACTGTCAATTCAACAGACATAATCTAGAAAAGGTGCATATTATTTTATTTTCTTCGTGCTTGTCTGAAGATAATTTAATTTCATCATCCAAAAAATATCGATTGTTGATTTAGGGTATAAACTATACAAATTAGTTTTGAGCATAAATTAATTTTTTCTAGTGAAGAATTTCTTTTAATTGTTTGTGGAGAAGTTTATCCACATATACCATGTTCATTTCTTTCTTACGATACCTGGAACATGACAAATATGTTTGTTTTACTGTATTTGCTGCAAGGAAAAATCCCTCTGCTAGAAATCTGTCTGCAAGAGTGATAATAAGTACATGGGATTCTAGGTGTGATAACAGTTGAACTCCTGAGAGCAGCGTTCAGGAGGGCTTTCAGGATCTTCATAGGAATATGGATAGTGCAAATCTTTGGGTTGATGCAGTCTAGTAGGCTGAGTTTGCTATATGTTGATAACCGTTAGACCATTTGGGATGTCTTGGAATCCTACCATTAACTTTTGTCATTTGAAAGTATCAAACATAGTATGATTTCTAACTGAAATCAAATTCTTAAACTAATAATATCATTACAAAAAAAATGCTTATTATCTACGGGTAAAATCCGTAGGTAATGTCACTTTACCTACGGATTTCTTTCCGTAGAAAATCCGTATGTAATTTGGTCGTAGGTAATTATCTACGGATTTTTTTGGAATATAATCCGTAAGTAATGCACTCACCTAAACAAAATATTTTTATTTATTAACCCCTCCCCTTTATATTATATTTTTGAAACTTTGAATTATTATTAGATTAAGAGAATTGTCATTGACAAGATTCGAACCCAAGCACTCGAGTTGGAGATCGATACTCCAACCACTAAGTCTATTAGGATATTTTGATAATAATTTACAAATAAATTATATTTATATTTATCCGTGTAAATATATAAGTATAAAATATATATAAATATAAAATATATTTATATTTTGATATATTTATATATTTATATATTTATATATTTGTATTTATATATTTATATTTATATTTATATATTTATATATTTATAAATTTATATATTTATATATTTATATATTTATATATTTACATATTTATGTATTTATGTATTTATGTATTTATGTATTTATGTATTTATATATATATATATGTATTTATGTATTTATATATTTATGTATTTATGTATTTATACATTTATATATTTATGTATTTATGTATTTATGTATTTATGTATTTATATATTTATATATTTATATTTATATATTTATATATTTATATATTTATGTATCTATGTATTTATATATTTATATATTTATCTATTTATGTATTTATGTATTTATATATTTATCTATTTATATATTTATGTATTTATGTATTTATGTATTTATATATTTATATATTTATATATTTACACGAATAAATATAAGTATAATTTAGTTGTAAATTATTATTAGAATATCCTAATAGTTTAGTGGTTGGAATATTTTCAACTTTAAGATCTTGAGTTCGATTCTTGCTAGTGACAATTCTTTTAGTTTAATATAATTTACCTACGAATATTATCCGTAGGTAATAGATAATTACTCACGGATAGAATTCCGTAGGTAATTTATAGATTTTCATCCGTGGATAATATCCGTAGGTAATGTAAAATTTACCTACGGATTTTTATCCGTAGGTAATATTATGTAGGTAATATTTATAGTGTATTGCGGACAAATTTGAAAGAATTCGCTTACAAAATGGGAATGAATTGTCGTATTTTAATGATTGTAAACTATAAGATCTTTAAATATGAATGAAGTCATTAAGTCTTGGACTGCTGTCTCTAGTCATAAACTGGTAGATTAGTTATGATTATGATTATGATTCTCTAGGTTTGTTTAGATCTCATTCGTGGTTTCCTCGATCGGTATAATTTGCAATGCAAGTTTAGTCCATTTTTTATTGAATGGAATCTTTTGTCTTATACTAAGGTAGCTATAGCTGATATTATTTTGTCTCTTTTATCTTGTCTTAACAGGGAATAGAGGAATTACATTCTTACAAAGCAAGAAGAAAAAGTTGATTCTTCCAAAATTGTTTGGTTCGCTTGTTTTTTTGGATCCTCTAGTAAGAAAAAAAAGCCTGTATATATTATATACTCATTATTATTGATGCCATCATAATCAGCATTATTAACATCATATATTTGTTGCTTTTAACATCCAAGCAATAATAATAGCTTTAGACACATAATTACTGATACTCAGTCTAGGTGACACAACTAGGGAATCAATAATTTGCTAATGCTTTATGTTCATAAATACTTAGGTCCATGTTCTGTTTCTCCATGGAATATCTTCTGGTTCAACATTATATTTCCTGCATGGATTTTCTGATATATTTATCAGTTTTGGATAGTTTGCGTATTTAGTTTGGACACTGCATGCGTCCAAAACCTAAACACTATCATCGTAACTTTAACTTGGTCAGTACACAACTTCCCATAACCAGTCGGCCATTGTTTCACACTGTCATTGCCACGTGTCATGTTTGCGGGTTTGGACATGCTTTGAGCCCTTTAATGGATAGACACAAAGTGTATCTCTATCACCTCTCAGATCACATCATTCATTGAATAGTAAAGTACCCATTCAAGATTTCAATATAATATATATATATATATATATATATATATATATATATATATATATATATATCATTTAATAATATTAAAAATTAAAAAATATATTTTACAAATTTTAATGTTCAAAATACATATAAAAATAAATTATTTAATAACGCTTAGTCTGGATTCATTAATTTCTTGTTAATGTAAATAGAAAATTCAAGACGATTTATGTTTATTTTTAGTTATGTGAAGAAATTTGTCTGAGCGGATTTGAGAGAGAGAAAGAGAATAAAGTGCCTCGTTAAAACGACAAGAGGCAAGAAATCCACGTCATTGAAGATTCATTAATTGTGTGAAATGTCCTTCCATCTTTCACGTAAATTAACTGTGCATGTCATCTAAGAATAGTTGCTGGTAGTGTTAAATCCTTTTCTAAGCTTGTATTGTATGGATCCCTCAAAACGGGAAAATCTAGTCTCATTACAGTTATGACAAACTACTTGAAATTTGATTATATGATTTGGAGCTTTCTTGTGTTTACTCTGACTCAAACCTTAATGACAGAGAGGGACTCGGGGTTTGTGTCTTGTATTCTATATATCTGTACTATTAGTTAATGAATGTTTAAAAACAACAAATTAAAGTGATTTTCTTGACAACTAACCACAGAGAGAAACTTGGCCCAGCATTGCTACACTCTGATCGTATGGACATGCACATACATCGATTTTGATTCTTAATCAAAGGAGCGAAGCGCTTAGTGGTTGAATCGAAAAGCACACGAACTGGAAGGAAGAATCGAAAAAGTGCTTTCATCATTCATTCGATGTACCCGACTCTCCCAATGTTACTCAATAATACTCATGTATCACATGAACTCTACCTATAATCAAAATAAAATATTACCAATCAATACCAATAAAAGTAACACTTATAATTTTGAATAATCATCTTCATAATTGATTTAATTTTATTAATTTCTATCATCGACAATTATAGGTTATTTATTTTCATCTGAATATTACATTCTTTTTAATACATTACTATCATTTCAATTTAAATTTACTTTATATTAAAATTTTAAAAAATTATCAATTAAAATTACAATTTTATTTTATTTAGAGTAATTATCTAAAATTTATTCTATATTAATTTCCACCAATTATATTTTATATTAATATAATTTCATATATTTATATTTTTATATTTTAAATAATAATCCATATCTAATTTTAACATTATTTATATCAATTATATTTTATTTTAAAATTTTATTAAGAAAATGATAAAATTGTAATCTTATAATTTTATAATTAAAATATTTTTTTTAATCTGTCAAATCAATTACAACGTTCACAAACTTTCATCTCATTTCCCTTCATTTCTAACAAACTTTCCATTAATTCAAACAATTTTACTTTCACATTTCTTTCCTTTCAATTCCACTCATTTTCATTCTCTTAAATTCGTCTACAGATCCAAATCCAAACTTAAGTTTAAGGTTTAACTATACATAATAACATTTTTATTAAATAATTGTTATTTAGTTTTTAATATATTCATCAATTTTTAATTTTAAAATAAGTTTAACTCTTGTTGATTTTATGATTTAAATGTAGTGTTAATACATTTACATAGTATAAAATTGATATTATTTGTTTATTTGTTGTTTAATATGAGGCAAGCCGTTAATAATAGTATGAAGTCTATTTATATAACTTACAAATTAGTGTGATGGACATCAAATATACAGAAATCACGTATCTAACTAGTGCAAAAAGGGGCTTTTACGTCAGGTATTTAGGGCTTTTTACGTCGTATTTAAGTCCGACGTAAAAGCGGGAGACGTAAATTTACGTCGGACCCTTTTACCCGACGTAGATTTACGTCGGTTATGAAGATACGACGTAATTTTGCGTGGCATATACAATAAACGAGACGTAAAAACCTTTTCAATTTAAAAAAAACGAGAAAATTTACGTCGCATACAGTATATACGACGTAAATTTACGTCGCATATTGGTATATACGACGTAAATTTACGTCGCATATACCAATATGCGACGTAAATTTACGTCGCATATGGTATATGCGACGTAAATTTACGTCGCATATTGGTATATGCGACGTAAATTTACGTCGTATATACCAATATGCGACGTAAATTTACCTGTTTTTTTTAAATTGGGTTTATTTACTCTGTTTTACAACTAAAACCTGCAAAAATTACAACCAGACAGATCGCAGGCAGTTTTCTTTTGCTAGTAAATTAAAAATATAATATTATATAATTCAAACTACATAATAAAACAAAATAATACAAACATACAAACTAAAAAATCTATTACAAACTAAGCTACCTATACAAA